TCTTATTTAGAGCAAGATTTTTTAACTTTTCTTCAATACTTTTTATTTATTTATTTTTATTATTATTTATTACTTTTTGATCATGAGAATACTTGATTTAAGCATAAATTTCTTCCTTTAAGTATGTGTGTAATTGTGGTGCACACAACTTGACTCAAGCATAATATTTTTGTTTCTAGCATGAAAAGCTTGATAAAAATATGAAAATATCTATTATTTAAAGTATCCTTTTAATTGACTCAGGAATTTCTATACTTATTGTAAGATCTTTTACTATTTATCTAAAATGAATAGTAAAATGAATTTATTTAAGCACTTACATACTTATTTTAAGACAATTAAAAACTTATCTGAAGTTAAGTACGAATTGAAGCATGAAATTATGTACTTATTTTAAGACACTTGAGAGCTTATCTGAAATTAAGTACGAATTGTGGCAAGAATTTTTAAACTTATTTTAACACTACTGAGAACTTATCTGAAATTAAGTACGATATTTTTGGGAGAAATGCTAAGAATTTTCTATGAATGAATGAAGTGCACACAATGCTTGTTTTTCGTTCAGTGTACTTTTCAAATCGCTTTCAAATTGTTCAAGTTGCTGTTGCTGCTGTTGTTGCTGTTGTTGCTGTTGTTGCTGTTGTTGTTGTTGCTGTTGCTGCTCTTCGTCCCGCTGCCTTTGTTAATGAGGCGTGCGCCGTTGTTTACCCCCTCTGCTGTCCACTCGAAAGCGAAGATCAATGGATTTTGCTGGCCAGCCAAGTCAAGCCAAGACCAGGTTGCTACCAAAACTCAAATGTTGCTGTTGTTGCTGTTGTTGCTGTTGTTTCTGCTGCTGCTGCTGCTGTTGCTGCTGTTGTCTACCACTTTCGTTGTTACTGTTGTTGATTTTGGAGCTTTGAGCGATTTTTCATTGGAATAGAAAGTGAATTGAATTTGTTTTCAGCCTAGGCTCTTGTTGTTGCTGTTGTTGTTGTTGTCCCATTGCTCTTGAGTCGCAGTCGTCTTCATTGGTGTTCACAATGAAAACAACATTAGTTGTCGAAAATTGGAACATGTCATTGACCTTTCGCCTGGCCCAGAGCAGTGAGAGTGTTTAGCTGTTTGTATTTTTCACAGATTTTCTTTCGCTTTTTCGGTATTGGAGAAAAGCGTTGGGTGCTGTTGTTGCTGGCTAATGGATTTTTCTCGAATGCAAGTGAAAATTGTGGACATTCAAATAGGCAAACGAAAGCTTACAGAAAGGCATATTTCATTAAATGATGGTTAACAAAAAATATTAAAGAAAAAACTAAAAAAAAAATATGCTTACAAGTAGAAAACTTTTAAGAATTTTTTGAATGCGAGGGAAAATTGTGAAAGGCAATTTCAATAGATTGAAATGTAGAAAAACAAATATTATGACAGTTTTTTAAATATTCAAAACAGTTTTATTTTTGAAGTAGAAAATTTTGAAGGAGTTTTCACGAATGCAACAAATAAAACAAATGAAAGCTTACTGAAAGGCATATTCAATTAATTTAAATTCAAACATAATCAAAGAATTGCATTTTTATAAAAATAATAAAATGGGATAAGATAAAAACTATTTTAAAGGGTTTTTCTCTTTTGGGAGTGAAAATTGTGGACATTCAAAAAGGCAAACGAAAGCTTATAAAAAAAACTAAAATTAAAAAAAAAATTAAAAAATAACATGTATTAAAATATTCAAAACTAATAATTAAATAAATAAAACTTTGAAGATATATTTGTATCTTTAATCCAATGAAGTTATTTAAAGCAGAAATGCAATTAATATAACAAAAGCTTGCAAATAATTTAAAACATTTCCTAAATGGAAGACGAACAATAAAAACTGGGATAGAGAATTTGAAGGTATATAAAAGAAAATTGGATTTAAATGTATAGTTTAAAATTTAATTTAATTTTTTAATCTTATACGTATTTAAGAAACAATTTTTGCAGTGGGGATAGGCTAGGATAAACTTTTAAATACGTATTTATTTTTTAACTCATGTTTAAATAGGCTTTTTATTATAGAGAATAGATAGAGATATGTTTTTTAGATCTAAAATCGAAAATCATATATAAAGACATGTCATACAATAAATTATTTTTTTTTCAAAAATAAACATGCAGAAATATATGTATTTATATAGAAAACAGATGCATATATATTACATAGCACACGCTTGCATTTGTTTATATACAGACATATATCTAGAAGAAGGTCGCACACAAAATCTGTTCATATGGGGCTTCCCCCTAAATATATCTTTAAAACGTATCCTGTTGCCTTTTGTTGTTTTATCATTTATTTTTAGCCTTAAAATTGGATCAACAGATTTCTTTTACAAACGGTGTAAATTCAATTCAATTAACTTGCCGCGAGGCTCGTGCCACAATAAGCAGACGACAACAACTACAATTAACTGGCAGTTAGTTCGTTGAGTTTGTTCACCTTTCGCCTAATTATCAAAATAAATATACAAAAAAAAAAAATAAATAAAAAAAAGTAAAAAAATTGAGCTACAAGACGCGTGCACACAGGCAGCGCTGACTGCGACGCGTCGCAGCGAGCCGGCAGAGTCGACAACTTCAATGAAATCAATTTTACGATAATAATTTTTTGAAAGCACAACAACAACAGGAGCAGCAGCAGCAACAACAACAGCAACAACAGCAACAACAACATTAACAACGGCAACTGTGTAGCCCAACCGCTTCATAAACATTGAATCAGCGCCAGACCCCAGCGCGGTACCGTTGGAAATTTCTTGCTTTTTCTTTTCTCAACGTATGTACATATATACAAGCATACATACACATTTATAAAATGTTGTATTTGTATGCGTATTTCTTTTTTTTCGTTGTTATTGTCTTGCAAAAATGTAGGTCAAGTTATATGGTGAGTATCTCTCTCTCTCTCTCTCTCTCTCTCCCACTCTGTGCGTGTGTGTGAGTGTGTGTGGGACGCTGACAATTTGGTACAGACAGTTCCAGAGTCGGTCAGTTAGTCAGTCGTGTTGGGCTGGGGGCGGGTCGCTGCGGTGCGGTGCGGTGCGGTGCGGCAGGTGGGCCGCGCAGACTTTTCTAGTCGCTGCATCCCAGGGCAACTTTCACTTAGAAAGTTCTGCTTGCGGTTATGGCCGTTGTTTATGTTGATTTTTTTTCGGCTGCTTTTAAGGTGCCATAAATGACAAGTTAATATCGCTGCGGCTGTTAAACTGGGTCAAGACGTGGGCCTGGGAAACGATCAGCCCGACGATTGCGCAGATAAGCCAGCGATCAAATGTTCAAGCGCTCAAGCGTTCAATATGCTTGCACTTCATGTGCGCTCCTCGTATTAATTGCATTTTCTTGTTGTTGTTTTTGTTATTTTTGTTTTTTTCAATGCAAAACGCGAGAGCTTTCCGTTAGGCCAACCTTGGCAGCAACAGCTGCTCTAGCTCTCTCTCTCGCTTGCTCTCTCTCTATCGCGGGCGCTTTCACTAGATTTCCCTGAACTTCATGCCGAAAAGCTAACGTGTCTATTTTTAGCGCGACATATCCGCGTCGTGCGGCTGCTGCTGAACTTCCTGTTGCAGCAGCTTACTGAGCGCAATGGCGCGTGAGTGCGAGCTTTTGCGCTCTCTCGCGCGCTCAGAATGCAAGTTCTGAATGCATATGCATTGAGTGTAAAGCTGCTCAATGATACGTGTGTGTGTGTATGCGAGATGGAGTGAGCGAGTGAGAGAGAGAGATGCACTGTTGTTGTTGCTGCAATTGTTTGCGTTGTTGTTATTATTGACCTAATCACTTGTGGAGCACAAACGAACATTGAACTTTTACTTCCGCATGCAATTTAATGCACGCGTTGTGCGCTCTCGCTGCTGCTGCTCGCTGTTGTTCTTGTTGTTGCTGTTGTTGTTGTTGCTGTTGTTCTATTGATCATTTTGCCATTTTAGCCGGCAGCGACCGCCCAGTGACATTAATTAATGCACACAGATTCATCAAATATGCGCTGCCCGTTCGGAAAATCATATTTTATGGCCCCAGCGGCAATTTGTCTGCGACAGGCCCTAGGATCAGCTGCAACTGTGTGCGTGCGCGCGTGTGTGTGTGTGTGTGTGTGTGGAAAATCGCGTAATTAAATGCGACAATTTGTTGCGCCTGAAGGGTATCTCGACGCCCAACATAACCCATAAGAAAAAATTTGAATATATTTTTTTTTTAAATATGATTTCTTTTAATATTATATTTTTATGTGTGTTTGTTTGTGTAGGTTTTTGTTGTTTGTATAAATAACATACACTTAAATGCTAAAAATCGTTTATATTTAATAATTTTTACACATAAATAAAAGAAAACGCTAAGCTTATGAAAAACGTTTGCAAGAAAAGTTGAAAAAGAAAATGATAAATATGTAATTTCGTTGTATTTTTTTTTTTGAAGAGTGAAACTTTGAAAAATGTTGGCGCATAAATATGACACTAAATTTAATACTTTTTTTTGCTTTTCTTCAGAAACAATTATTAGATAAATATATAATAATAATAATATATTTATATAGCATAACATATGTATGTGTATGTGTATGTGTATGTGTGTGTGTATGGATATGCGATATGAACAGTGTTGCCAAGGCGGCTCTTTAAATAAAAGCTAAAAGTAGCTAAATAGCTAGCAGATAGCTAGATCAGCTGACAAGCTCAACTGTTTTCTGTTAGTAGCCAAATTTAGCTGGAAAGCAGCTGAATTGGCAACACTGGCTATGATATAGGATAATATGTGTAGCAATTATCGCTTCATGTTTTTTGTGAACAACTCAATGAACAGCTATTTAATTTAAATAATAATAATAATAAATAATTTATGTATAATAGTAATTATGCATATATGTAAAAAAAAGTACTAAATACAAAGAAAATAGTTTTGCTGGCTACTTTCTGCGGCGCCGGCAGCTGGATGTCTCCTCGCGGCCACGCAGGCGCAACCAACGCGCGCCCCCAATCATGTCCAGAATTTTGGATAGTTTTTTGTAGTTGTTTGTTTTTTTTTTGTTTTTTTTTTGGATAAGGCAAAGGCGGTGTATGGATGTGTGGGCGTGGCGGCGCCTAGTACTGCCCGGTGGGATCCAGCGCCAGCTGCCGCTGCTTGTGGCGCGTGTCACGCGACTCACGCGGCCGCCGATAGGTGCCCGTTGGATCCAGATCGAGCATGTTGCTGCTGCTGTTGTTGTCTTTGCTGTTGCTGCTGCTGTTGGTGAAAAGTGTGACCAAAGCTTGCAATGCTAGTAGGTGCCAGTGGGATCCAAAGCCAGCGACATTTTTTATGCTTTTTTTTGTTTGTGGTACTTAAATTCTTTTGGAAACGTTTAATCTTTAGCTGGAGCTCAGTATTGGCCAGTGGGATCCAGGTAGGCGGCCATGGTTCGGCTATTTAGTGTAACTCTTTAAGCAGCTGAGAAATTGTTGCTAATTATTGATATTAATATTGGCCGGTGGGATCCAGGTAGGCTGCCATTTGTATGCCGTGTAATTAAACAAAAATACTCGAATGATATCAACACGAATATTTGTTTTTTTTTTGTTTTTTTGGCCCTGCTGCTCCTTTGTTTAATTTAAATTCTGGTTCTCTGCTCAGATGATGTTGTTGTTGCTGTTGTTGTTGTTGTAAGTTCTTTTATTATCACCAGTTGTTATTGACTGATTATACAGCAGCGCGCGTGTGTGTATATGTTTATATTTAGCTTTTTGTTGCTCTTTTTTCTTAATTTTGTCTATATTTTCTTGTGGTTATAATCGAGTCACTGACACTTAAAATCCATTAAATACTTTTGTTGTACGCTCTTTTATTGTTTATATAATTTAAGCGGCTGACTAGCCTAGCTTATTGTTCTTATTTTGTTTGCCTTTGCTTATTAAACCGGGCAAAAAGATTGTCTCTATTTTTCTTTTTTGTTTTATTTTAATTTTGGCGTTAATCAAACTACAATACAGCCAAAAACTTCACAAGTTATTAAAACAATACAAAAATTGTGAGTTCGCCTGCGATTTGAACTTTGCTCTGATCTGCACACGTCGAACGTTGTCGATCTTATGATTCAAGACGTTGGCCATACAGCGTTATTTATATGAATCTGAGCGCGCTGCCACGAGAGAGCGAGAGAGGGGGAGAGCGCGCGCTACGCGCAGAGAGAGCGAGAGAGCCAGTCGGAAGCTTAATCGACTCGTCGTCGCTGTGCAGGCGCAAAAGAGAGCGCAATAGTTGGAGGCAGGTGTGCTGTGCTCTTAGCTGTTGCTCTTGAAAATTGGCACAGGGCGCGCGCGCGAGAGCGAGAGCGGCGGCAAATTTCATTCATAAACCTCTCTCACTCTCACGCGCGCTCTCTTTATGGCTGACTAAAGGTATGAGGGCAAGACGCTCACGCACACACACTCACACGCAACACACACACACATATGGCCGCCTCCGCCTGGGTTTCATTCAGAAAACAGCTGTTTTTGTCAAACTGCGACACGATCGAGTGCCCTCGTTATGCCGCTGTCGCTGTGTGAGTATATGTATATGTGTGTGTGTGTGTGTGCGTGTCTGTGCTAGGCAGGTAGCGCGCTTGCCTATTGGTGCATTTTCATTGAGATCCTGCCGCTAGGCTCCACCCACAGCTAATTGATATTTAACCGTGCAAATGACTTGGCCAAAAATGTATTTAGTGCGTTTATTGTTTTTTTTTGTCCGGTCAACAAGTAGCCCGGCAAATACACATGTTAACTGTTTGTCGCCGCCGCCGATTGAACCTGGCCAATACCCCATGCATGTGCCATAAGCGGCAAATTAATGATCTGTGAGCCGCTGAGCAGCAGCTTGACCACAGCGACAGCCGCTGCCCACTTTACGTGACATTTGACAGTGGCCTAAGCCGTCGTTGTCGCCGTCGCCGGGGCAAGGCTTAAGCCTTAAGGCAGCCCATAAAAAGGATAAACGTGCGGCATGAGTCAGCGAATCGACGCATGCTTCCGCGAAATGCGATGCCGCAGACGACAGACTCGGCAAAAAAAAAAAAACAGGCAGGAGCACTCTAGTCGGGCGTGCTCGACTAGCGGCTACCCTGAGAGCCCTGCGCCAAGCGGCCTTTACAAACATTTTAGCCTAAGTCTATAAGTACATACAAAAAACAAACAACTAGATTAAGTTTGTTGCTTATGATATTACAGGACTCCTTCGCTACATACATACAAAAAACAAACAACTAGATTATCTTCGGTACTTAGAGTCCGATCTTGATGATATTGCAAGCATTCCAAGCTTCTTCTCAAAAAGAAACTTCTAGATTAACCTCGCTGCTTAAAGTCCGATCTTTATTATATTACTAGCATTCCAGCCTCTTTCTATACATACATATACAAAATCAATAACTAGAAAAACTTCGGTGCTTATAGTCCGATCGTAATGTTTTTACAAGCCTTTAGAGTCCGATCTTTATGCTATTTCAAATATCTCAGCCCCTTCTATACACACATAACATACTTGAAAACAAACATCTAGATTAACTTCGGTGCTTAGAGTCCGATCTTAGGATATTGCGAGAATTACAGCCTCCTTTTATGCACACACAGAAGAAAATTAACATCTAGGATAACTTCGGTGCTTATAGTCCGATCTTAATGAAATTTAATGGCTTTTAAGTTATAAAGAAAAGTGTGTATATACCTAGTCGCAGGGCTAAACCTTAAAAACTGAGTTGTTTCTTCCCAATTTTTGGGGAATGGATTTTGGTATTTAAAGTGTAATATAGTTTTAATATGTGTATTATCTTTTTATTTTAGAGCTATGTTATCACCATCCAAAATCGATCTTATGAAAATGTGAGAAGATATCGAACAACAAGATAAACTTGTTCTGCATATGATATATGAGAATAAACTATATATTGAAAATTCCAAGTTTTTCCAACTTGTGTAGATGTCTAAGATCCATGCGATCACATAGATAGATAGACAAAAGGAGATTTCCCTCAGCTCGACGGCCTGATCAAGAATTGATACTAATTAAAGTATATTTTATAAAATCGGAAACGTTTCCAGCTGCCAGTTACATGTGCTAAAACACAATATACCCACCTTTTTTTTTCAAAGGGTTCAGGGTATAAAATTCTGGCAAATTAAAAAAGAAATAAGCAGAAAAAATGTTGCAGTTTTCCGCCTATTTTTTGTTACTAGCCCAAATAAAGGACATGTAAGTCAGCTGGCGCAGCAGCAGTTTCTCAAGATATGCGCCACAATGGGAAATATAAATCCTTTCGTTTTATTGCAGCCAGCCAGCCAGTTGTCACTTTAAGAGGACTTCCGGCTGTTGCCGGGCACGCGCTGCCACGCAATCCTTTGCGGCACGAGCTGGCGCTCCAGAGGAGCAGGAGGAGGAGGGGAAGGGGCGACTCTTGAGTGCCTGGGCGTGGCAGCAGCAGCAGCAGCAGCAGCAGCAGCTAGTTGGACTAATGCATTTTCGCCGTTAGCCTGTTTGCCCAGTTTTGTACCTGAAAGTGAACCCCAATTTTGGGCAACTTCTGCTGTGACCGGATATGCGGCTGAGTTTTTTTTTTTTTTGTGGCGCTTCCGTTTTCACTTTTCGTACAGTTTTTCCTTTCGGTTTTTTAACGCTATCGAATTCGTTTCGCCTGGCACCTTTTGTCTTTGGCCACGTGCCACATGGAGGAAAATTTCGAAAATGCATCCAACATTTGTTGGCACAACTGTCTGATCTCTCCCCTCCCCTTCCCCTTCCCTTTCCTCGTCCTGGCTTGCATTTGTGTTGTAATTCGATCGAATTGGGATATTTGTTGTTTGTGGGGAACAGATTCACTTTTAACGGCTGCTCTTCGGCATTCTTATGCAATGTTTGCACAGATCAAAACGAAGAAGAAGCAGAAGAAGAAGGTGATCTTCAGTTGAAAAATGTGGGTCAATGTTCCGAGCGTGCGCGTTTTTTTTCGTCTCATTCTATTTTTGCATATAAAACAGTTTTTTTTTTCCATTTTTTTTTTGCTGGACTTGGACTTGGACTTGGCCATGCGACTGCAGCACTTTATCTGCAAGTTAATTTTCTTTCATATTTATTTTTACTTATGTTTTTTTTTTCAAATTCAGCTGTTTTCATAGTAAGCAATGCCAATCAAACTTGTTGCCGCGTTGACAATTCGCTGCGACCAGCACTTGGTGCCAAATCGCAGTCGGACTCCGTTAAGATCTCGACTTAAGAGCGACTCTTTCAACTAGCCAAGTTGCAGCATTTAACTGTAAACTGCGAAAAGTGTTTCACATAATAATAAATGTATAAAGAAACTCACTTTGTGGCATGGAAAATATGTGTGCTAGCTGCAAGATTCGAATTAAGTCCAGCTCGACTCGTAAAAGCAATGCAAATATATTTTCTCTCTCTTTAATTCGAAGTTATTTAAATTTAAATTGTAATTGGGCTTAAACTTTGTAGTACATGAAATTAAAATTAAATTATCTATTGTGTAATTATTCTATACGAAATTAATTTTATTGTGGAGCTTTAGATGGAAAATTAATATTATACCGAAAGAGTTACAGAGAATCTTTTTGGTATAATTTAATAAAATTTTAATATGGATTTAACTGTCTTGTAGCTAAAACTAAATTTAAATCAAGTATTATTTAAATACAGATTCGGTAGGAAAGAGTAAAACAGAGCAACTCTGGTAGTATCTAAAATTAAATATAAATTCTATTGGGAATTCATATTATTCTAAAAGAGAAAAACAGATAAGATAAGATAAGCTCATGATTCGAGAAGAATATATTTAAGTCCTTTTATGCATAATTATCTCTAATGTATAATATTATTATTCTAATATTTATTTATTATCAAATTGTAAAAGGATCTTAAAAAAAAACTCAAAGAGCATCTTATGCTCAAGATTGTTTGGAGAGCAATAAAAAAAGGTATCTTGACAACCAAAATTTTCGTATTGAATCTACAAATTTAGACAATCAAATATGAAACCCAATGAAAATTGGCAAACAGGGTATAGTTTATTTGTGCACATGCATTTAACAAAAAGAAGAAAGCATCTCCGACCCTATAAAGTTCCATATATATATATATATTCATGATCCGCCTCAATAGTCGAGTCGATCAACCCATGTCTATCCGTATGCCCGTCCACATATATCAGAATCTATGAGAGAGAGAGAGAGAGAGAGAATTTGAACGTAGGTTCAACTAGTGCCGTATCCGATAATCGATAACTTGCATCGTTTCCAAGCAATCGATAAAAATCGATATTGAAATGTTGTTTTTTGAGCAAATCTCTTAGGTCTTAAGAGAAAGAGTCGCCGAATTTGTCATGTAGCTATACAGATCAAATATCTTTCATTTAAGTCCCGAGTTGAGACTCTTACTTGTTTTTTTTTTTATGTATATACATCTTTTTATATATTCGCAATAATCTATTTCTTGGAAGCGATTGCAAAACGCTGAAAAGAATTTAATTTGCAACTTACTTTTTGTTTTTATCTTAAGTATTCAATTTTTTTGCTTGTAGTATTTACGTAAATTTTAATGTTGTTGAAACTTATGTTAAAGATATTTCATTTTAGTAAATTAATGTGGACTAAAACTAAGCAACGTTTTATAATTGACTTTTAATTGCAGTTTTGCTTAACAAAAATAGTTGCATGGAAAAGTGAGTTATTGTTAATAAAGATATTGTTCTCAATTACAATTACTCAAATAAAATTTTTGTAAATTACAATGTTGTCATATTTTATACTCCCAAGCAGGCACCTATCAAATTGCTTATTCGTCGATGCCCTACGAAGTTTGGGGAAGATCAAACAAGTGAAGTTAAATGTAAAAAAATAACAAAAATGGAGACTTAGCAATATATGAGTATGAAAATACAGGAGGAATACATAGACATTCGATCTACCCAGAATTATACAAACAATTTCCGGCCCACTTATTGAATATAATCCATTCCTCATTGAATATAAGCCATCTGATCCGTGCAAAGCCGGGTAATTTCTTCTACTATTTATATAAAATTCGCCAACAGTCTTGCT